TGAAGTCTCTCACTTCTCTGGGCCCTGTTTCCTCACCTACAAAATGGGAATGATCTCCACTCTGCTGGGTTAGTGTCAGGATTAACTGCACAGAAATACTTTGCAAACTATAAGTGCAATGGCAATGAAGAGTCAGTTCCGGCTTTATCTACATGTGGATCCAAATGCTTGCCCTCCTGTTACCATTGTCTTCTCCTTCTCCTCTCTCTCTTTTTCCCCCCAAGTCCCAAGTACCTGTTTTGGTCATGTTTAATCCTTAGCCTTTTTCTGCCTACCACTTGAAGTAGATTCTAATCTTTTTAGTACTGAAAGGAGTTTTTAGGGGTAAAATAGGCAAGTGTAGGGAGTTTTAGGAATTAGGGGGTCCATGCGGGAGGAAGACATGGTTGTGGCTTGGAGCTGCCAAAAGGCATATATTCACAGAGAATAAAAGGTGCCACAGGATAAGGGAAAAGGAAGACATCCATTTACAGAAGACAGGGAAAAGCCCCAGGGTATGGGGAGAAAGAGGAAACAGACTTCCACAGATAGAGAAATGCTGACAAATGGGAGAAGGAACAGATTTTCACAGGAGATAGAGAATTCCACCACTGAAGGGGGAGAAATAAAGGGGGCACCATGTGGGTTTTGAGCTTTGAAGCTGATAAGTGACCAGTTGGAAGGCAGCAACAAGAAACAAAGAACTGCAGCCTTTATAATCCTTAGGAAGAAGGAGCTTAGTGGGCTACCCCTTGGGGACCTCCTCCCTACGTGGGAGTTTGTATTTGTTTCCAATAAATTTCCACCTTTGCATCTACCACCTTTTGTCTGTGGCTTCATTCTTTGAATCTACCTGGACAAGAACTCGGGAAAGAAATGACCCTTGCCTCCTGCTCAGGAAAGCACCGACTCAGTACCAAATGCTACACATTTTGCTTGTTTTTTCACTCCTTTTCCCAAAGGCCAGTATTTCCTGGGTCAGTGGCTCCAAAGCTTGGCTTCACATTCAGATCTGTGGGGGAGTTCTCACAGGCTGCCTATGCCTCCCCCACCCAAGACGCCGATGGCCTGGGCCCAGGCGTTGGGTTGAAAAGCTCCCAGGTGCTCAGCACAGGCAAGCCAGAGACCACTGGCCAAACACTTGCTAGTCTTTGGAGCCCACCTGGACCCGTTTTGTTACTGGAGGCTGGTAGTCTAGGGCTCTGTAACACTTCATGCAGTGGTAAAAGCATTGAGCCCGGGGTAAGCAGCCGGGGGTGGTGACATTGTGGCTGGGAAATAAAGGCATTTCAGAGCAGTAGGTGTGGGGTTTAAGATGTTCCCTCCTTAGCAGACTTCCTGTGCTAGCCTCCCAGGCCTCAGCCAGTGTCACCGAGCTGAGAGCTCAGTGGGCACCCTCTCTAGGAAGAGTAAGTAACACAAAATCAGGGCTATGGAGAGAAGAGTTTGGTATAAAACTTTATTAAAGAAACATTGTTTTCTTGTGAAAAAATACTACATTAGAGAAGAAGGTTTTGGTTATCAGTCTTTCCTTATAGAATCACAGTGTCAGATAATCATTTCTCAACCTTTCTGGGAACTTGCAGGTCACAGATTAGCAGGACATCAATACACAAGAGAAAAGAACTCTCAAATTTACTGATGGCCCCATTTCTCAGGTGGTTTAGACTGGCCCTGAATAAACAGTCTGTGTTTAATCCTCTCTGCCTCTGCCTGCCTTTAAGACCAGGACTCTGCAAGCAGATGAGGGCCACCCACCCTTCCCAGGCCGAGTGAAGACTCGGTTCACAGAGGCGCTAAAACAGGGACTCAGCAAGGTCTGAATAAAGAGTTTTTATTACTTGTCAATGGTCATGAAATGCCCTTCATTGGATACCATCAGATGAGGTAGGGAAGACATTCCAGAGGAAATTTGTTAATGGGGCAACATTTTTATTTCTGTACATTTACATACAAATTTTCCTCAAAGGTACAACAGATGTGACATCATGCAGACATTATCTTTGAACGACACAGTTCAGAACTCGATAGGCTTGTGCTATGAATGAGCACCTCCAGAGTGAGCCCGGTGGATGTGCAGTAACACGGTTCTGACTAGGAACCTCAAATGTTGGGGCGGCAGAAAGGACAGAGGGATTATCCCCACTGGACAGAACACACTGCTGCGTTTCCAAAACACCTACAGCAAAGCCAGGCATCCTTTGAAAGTGAAGCGTGGGCTTTCCCCAGCACGTGCGCGCGCGCGTGCGCCACCTAGGGGCTGGGAGGTGCGATGGTCACAATTCATTTAATGGCACTTCAGTCATTTCTTGTTTGGCTCTAGGAAGTGGTATTGTTTGAGTGCAGTACTTCCTTTACGATGTCCATTTTTGCTTTCTGTTCTGTGGCCAAAACAACTTACCAGCCCCTTTCCTCTAGTTGCAAGTAATTATACTCTTTTAGAAAACAAAAGATTTAAAACTTTTCCCTATTTGTCTTGGGTGCTAGTACTTAGGGTACTTGCTCTGAGTTATGATTGACTTCTGGAAAAGAACAGATGAAGAGCTGTCCAGCCCTGCCTCAGGCGTTCACATTTGTGCATAACTTATTGAAAGGGGTTACAGCTCCCCGAGAGGATAGCAGGATGCAAGAGTGGCTGGTGGAGGAGAGTGGCTGCAGCACATACCTGGAGGTGACTCCCTGGGCGGGTAGGAGGTGATGGGAAAGTGGACTTGAAATGGCAGGTGTCTGTGAACTGTTTCCCTACTGACCACGAAGGAAACAGGACTGAGGAGTCCAAGCTTGACCAATAGGTGCTAGGGAGCTGGTGGCTGCAGCCCCTTCCCATGCAGAGCAAGGCGGGACTGGACGTGTGTCAGGCTCAGTGGGCCCTGGCCGCCTTGCCCACTTGGTGTGGGATTTCACAGGGAAGCTTTTCTGCTTTGGCTACATTTGATAAAGGTGTTCCTTAAGAGCTTCAGATATTCTTAAGCTAACCCAGCAACAGAAGAGGAGCTCAGCCTAACCCTGAAGAGGAACAGGAGTTTGTAAGTGCTGTGCCTTCCCTCCGCCTTCCTAGAGATTACCGGCAGCACTCTGCAGCTCCATCACATTTTAAGGGAGGCTTCTGCGATCAGCGAGAGAAGGCTACAATACTTCCGTAGTACAGTAAGGGGACTGCAAGGTGCCCCGGTGCTGGGGTGATGCAGACATACACCTGGCCAGGTGCAGGCCCAGGACCTCACTGGCTCCTACCCACCTTCCTCAACTGCTCAGGGGCTTGGCGGCTGCATATGTCATGTCCTGGATTAATGGGTCTTGCTGCCAGGTGGCTTGTCGCAAGTACTCTAAAAAAGGCAGAAGGTATTCAACAAGTTTGGCACGCGGAGGCTGCACGTTTGTAAAGAAAGGCCTTTGTAAAGTAAGGTGAATGTGGACCCACATGGAAACATGGAACAAAAGTGACCTAAGAGATGAGAGAAGGTGAGGATGAGTGGGGCTTGAAATAGGGAGACTGGCCAGGTGGCCTTCTTCCTAGGCAGCGGCCCTTGGACGAAGCTGGAGACCCCAGACCCCGTTGATTCGACAGAAAGTACGGTTTAGTCACTGGAGTCACACACACTTGCAAGTTTCACCTCCTCACCATATTTTTTTTTTATCAAGTCACCAGTTCCTATTGAAGTCCACCAGATTCGGAGGGGAGTGGTGGGCGGAGACAGTAAGAAACAGGCCAGGAGAAAGCTAGAAGGGGAGAAAGGGAAGTTAAGCCAACCCCTTTTCAGGCCCTTTGAGTTCTAGCAACTGTCAGTTGGAGGTCACCTAAGTCACAGGCCCGAGACTATGATTTCCTGGGGATAACACAGCCCATGACAAAGACACATGTCACAAAGTGGGGGGTGCGGTGGGTGGACAATTCTAGAAAGGACCCAGGCTGTCTGGAAAATCAGGTGCCTACGTTGCTCAAGGGGGCGCCTGCCTGCGCCAATGAAGCTTGTTCCTTAGTGGCCCCCGGCGTGTCCTTGCGGAGCCCTCCAAGCTTCCTCTGAAACACCCTCAGACAGGTGAGAACGCCTGACGTGAAAGGGAAGAGGAAGCCTGCATTGTCTGGGACAAGCAATGAAGTCAGTGACGACCCTTGGCTATTGGGGATGGGAGTTGAACTTTGGGGAGTTATTGCTTCCTCTCAATTGGTCTTGAAGCTTTAAGAGAGGCAGGAGGTCAGTTGGACTAACCTATGAGCATCCCACTGCTTGCCCCAAGCCCCACCTCTGTGCTGAGGGAAGGGGGAGGAAGCAGGAAGCAGGCAAAGGCAGGCATGAGGGGGACCGGCTCCCACAGGTTTGCAGTCTCAGTGTGAAATCAGTGGGAGCGACAGTCATCCAAGCTGGTGATGCCGTGTGGTGTGCTCCAGATGTGCATGCGCTGTCTTTGGGAGAGCACCCACCCTCTGTGGGTTTGCCTTAGTCCTCTACTTCAGTTCTTGTCCCATTGGTTTCCCGTCAGAAAGTAGCGTGTTTTCAGGTAGTGCTGGAAAAGCTGATGGTGGAGGGAGATTTCCCGCAGAGCTGAATCTGAGAAAGCATTAATGCTAAATGCCTCACCTCAGCGCATCTAGTCGTGAACTGAACCAGGCAAACTTGGGTCAGAAAACTGGCGACACTGCCACGGATCATTTACGATTTGTGGTGACATGTTGAAGCTTTTCCCCAAAGAGTTTCCAGCATCCAGTACAGAAGGATGATCTTGAAGGAAAGATTAAGCTGGTTTTAATGACATTCGTAAGCTGCTTTCTCCCAAAACATGGACCAGAAGCTCTGACCCTACAAACACAAAACCTTTCAGACCATCAGCCTCTCTGGCGGACACCTCATTGCTTACATGTCAGCGTGGCGCAGTCTGAACTGCTCGCGGTGGTGTGTCTGCGCACAGCCCGCGGCCCTGGGGGCATCTGGCCGCTGCCGGCGAGGAGACTGGGTCCCTCTTTCGAAGGGGGTGGTTCTATTTCAAGATCAGTGAGAGGAAAGGGAATAAAGTGCTTCTCGTAAAAATGACCAAAATAAATACAAACATTTAATGGCAGAAAAGAAAGTCTTATTTCCAAAGAGTCTGCTTCCTCACACCATCCTTAGCGTTTTGGAAAGAATCCCCCCACACCAGCGAAGGTCCTGTGCTCCCGCGGCGTCGGTGCCCGGTGAGCCCGGCAGAGCCGCGTGTGCTCGCAGCCACGTGTCTGGTCCCTCGGTGACCCTGCGCGCAGCCACCCCCACGGGCCCAGGTCTCTCAGGGCAGGCCGCGCGCAGAGCCGCAGGACCGCAGGCCGTTGGCTGCGTTGGCGGCGGCGCTGTCGGGCAGCGCGTCCCCCGCGGCCGCGGCATCGTGGAGGCCCGAGTAGTCCTTGAGCTCCGCGTTGGTGAGCAGCAGCGGCTGCTCGGCCTTCTTGTGCGGCAGGAGCGGCTGGCGCGTGTAGTGCTCCCCGTTGGAGAGGCTCTCGGGCAGGCTCTGGTTCCGGCTCTCGGGCAGCAGGAGGATGCAGATGATGCAGATGAGCGTGCAGCAGGCGAAGATGATGTGGTGCAGGAAGTAGCCTTTCTGGTTGTGCAGCTCGATGATGGGCGCCGTCAGCATGCCGAAGCCTGCGCTGGCCAGCACCAGCCCCAGCCCGCCGCACCTGCAGGAGGGCCGAGCACCAAGGTTAGTGTCCACGCCACCCCCCGCGCATGGCGCTGTGGCTCCCAGAGTGCGGACATGGCAAGGTCACGGCAGACCCCGAGGCCTGGCTGGGGGGTGGGCACCCGGCATGCCCCCCACCTGTGGTGCATCCCCCATGTAGGATATCCCAAACCACCTTCATCTGGGCCACCTGTACACCACCTCTAATTCATGTAATACTTTCCCTCATTTAATTTGAAAGACAACTTTATAATGTCACTGTAAGTGGAAAACTATCCCTTGCCATGAATAATGTACATACAGTGAAAAAGAGAGTAGTATTAAATTCTGCTTTTTTCCCACGGCTTGCTCTTCATTTAGAAAAGTAGCAGGGGGGCTGGTTGGATTGCCAAGGGTTAAAGGTGTTAAAGACATACCGACACTAGCAGACTTTCTCTTTGCCACAATCAGAGATTTGAAGACACTTTGAAAACAGTATTTTCTCGCTGTGAGTTGATGTTATTTACTGTCGAGTCCCATGTATTTCCTAGAATCATTCTGCACCCCACCAATGGGAGTGTCCCGTCTCTGGGAAAGGCTGTTCCAGCAGCCATGCACTGACGGAGACATTCCCACTGCACTGAGCTCAGATAGCACAGGACAAGCCTGGAGCCTGAGCCACTTGCCTCCACTCCTCTGCCACAGGAGGGGACCTACCAAACACTCCAAAGGCATTGTAGATACACAGCAGCGGGAAAAACCATCAAACCTCCAATTAATGGCTATTTGGGCGTAAAGATGTATTTCTGGGGAGAAGGTGTTATGTGGACACCAAGAAAGCAGTGCAGTGCAGTGCTAGGCTGCAGTAAAGAGGACCACGGTGTTCAGGTGACAGGAGGTAATGGTCCTACTGTCCACTGGGCCCTCACTTACAGGACGGACGGTTGGCTGGTCTCAGAGCTCTGGGGCCACAGGGGAGGGGCCGGGCGAGGAGGTCTCGCCTCAGGGGAAATGCAGACGTTTGCCTCACCTCAGCGAGCAGATGCAGACCAGTAGGCAGAAGGTCCAGGGGTGCAGATTTCAGTTGGTTTAAATAACTTTCAAATGGACCTGGTCAAGAGTTAGGTACTGCCCTTCAGTGAACTGACCTTTACTCTTGGATGTGCTCATGAGGCAAAGAGGGGCGCAAGGGTAGGCCCCTGTAGCATGTAGGACACAGGGCTGGGAGCTCCCAAGGACCTGGGCATTTCTTTAATTATTGTCAGTTGAATCCAGTGGCGTTGGCCAAGCCACATCCTGGAGACACGCTTTTCCAAGAGGCAGGAGTGTTGTCAGCTTGACCTTCAGTCCAGGTGCCAGAGGCTGGGTTTTGTTATTTAAATCCAGCCAAGCACCAGGAATGAATACAACTCGGGCTCACCCAAGAATGCACATAATCCCCTTTGTCTTGACTTTTAGTAAAACTTCCTGGTTTTTGCTGTATAAAATAAATACCCTGTATCGGTTCTGGGTCACGTCTCTGTCCCTGTCTCATCATCAGAGGACAGCGTTCCCACCCGGCCCCAGCTTTTTCCTTCCACCTCTGTGTCTGTATCTTTCTTTCATTTTCCCAATCCCTAGCCGCCCCTACTCAGGAACTGGACCGCTCTCTAGCCGCGCTGGATGCAGAGAAGAGAGACATATTTACAATAACCCAATTTAAAAAACTGGCCAAAGATTTAAATAGACATTTCTCCAGAGAAACTATAAGACATCCAATGAGTACATTTGGAGACATGCAAATCACAACCACAGTGAGATACTATTTCATGCCCCTAGGATGGCTATAATCAGAAAGACAGACAATAACAAGTGTTGGTGAGGATGCAGATAAACTAGAAGCCTCATATGGCTGGTAGGAAAGAAAAATGGTGTAGCCACTGTGGAAAAGCTTGGCAGTTTCTTAAAAAGTTAAGTGTAAATTTTTATGATCCAACAATTCCACTCCTATGCAACATGAAAACCCGTGTCCACACAAAAACGTACCAGCGAATGTTCATTGTAGCATTATTCATAACATCCAAAAATTGGACAGAATTCCATTGTCCAACTGGTGACTAAAGAAACAAAATGTGGTCTGTCATATACAGTGGAATAGCATCCATGATAAAAAAGGAACATGGGTGAATTTAGAACCACACTAGGTGACTGTATGAATCCATTTATAAGAAATGTCCAAAAGAAGGCCGATCTATAGAGACAGGAAGCAGGCGAGTGGCTGCCTGGCTCTGGGAGTGGGAGGAAGACTGCAAGGGCCATGAGGAACTTTTGGGGAAAATGTTCTGTAACTGGGCTGTGGTGAGGCTTGCACTGTCATTGCACTATTTACTAAAAGTGCATGGATGCTATGGTATGTTAATTATGCCTCAATAAAGCTGTTAAGAAAAACCCCAAAACTGTTCCACCTGGGGCCTCCTGTTGATACAAATCCCCAGACTTCTAGTCTAGAAGGGCGCCCACGCAGGCCTCACCTTTCTTCCTGAGAACGCAGAGACTGTCCGGGCTCCCCTCTCCCTTCCACCTGGCTGCCTGGGTGGGAGTTTCTGTTCTGCTTTGCTCTGCAGGCCTTCTCAGGGGCGTTACTGTCCCCAACAAGGGAAGGGGAGACCCTGCCTTTGCTACCTGCTGTCCTACGACAACACACCCTCTGGCTGGCCAGTCCAGGATCGGGAGGGTGACAGGGTTTAGGGGCACTCAGGTAGAGATGGTGGCATGCTGGGGCTCTCCAGGTGGGCAGCTGGACCTAAGGGCCACCTTAAATCAGACATACAGTTTTATGATAAACATAGGACAGAGCAGTGTCTTGCAAATATTTTTTCTCAAAGAACAGAACTTAAGAATGGCAACTGTGTGTGCATGGGTGGGACAATGGGTGGTCTCCCCCATTTTGTCATGTTTCCTAATCAAAAAAATAAATTTCTCTCTCCCCTTCTCTCCCTAAATTAGGAATGGCCTTTTGTGTTTGCAGGTAGCAGCCCACCCCAGAGGGTGTGGCCTCAGGCACAGCAAGTGCCAGTGATTCAGAGGTGAGGAGGGTGGGAAACACTTATCCTTAGGTTGCTGCAGGCTAAGACCCAGGCTGGGTTTCAGACAGTCTCTCCAGGCGCACCGCCCTAGGGGACAAAGCCAAGCCTGGGAGTCCCTGCGCTTCCCTTTCCCAGCCCCCCTCCTGTCCAACCCTGAGCAGCTCAGGCCCATGGGGGTTACACTCCCCTCACTGGTGTCTCCCACAGGGATCCTCCCATCTCCTCAGACTTCATTTCCTCACTGCTGACTAAGTGCCCTGTCTAGAATACAGAGCTGATCATGCCAGTCACTTGCTCCAAATCCTCCCATGGCTCCCTTCTGCCTCCAGATAATGCACAGCTCCCAGGGCTCCCCCGCCCTGCTGCCCTCCTGCCCTCCTGCCCGTTCTTCCCTCCAAGCCCTCCATGGGGTTCTCTCACCCTGCCCCAGCTAAGCTCCGGTGCTTCACGCTCAGCCCTCCCAGGTTCCTGGGTAGGTAACTGCCTCATGTGTGTAGTGAAGAAGGAGACATGACTTGTCACTAGTGTTCATTCAAGTAGAGGAGCATCAAGATTGCAGTTAGCAATTAGGGCCACCCCACCTCGGGCAACCCACACACACAGGCCAGGCCAGAGCGAGCTGCCTCACAGACTCTTCTTGCTACACAGGCAGGACATGCAACAGTTAAGAGAACAGGCGGCCTGGGTCAGAGCTCTGGCTCCATCATCCGCAGTGTCCCCTCTGTGAGGCAGCGTCCCCTCTGTGAGCCGCAGGGAGAATCTGTAAAGGGGGTAGCGAGAGCGGCACAGTGAGCAGCCCTAGGCGGAGCAGGTTTGCTGCTGATATTCTCTGCTTGTCTAAGCTTTCATCACATCTCTGTTGGCGCCACAAAGCAGAAATATTTCTAACTCCTTTCTTGCTGCATTAATATTAAAGTGACAAACAGCAGGAGGTGAAGGGAAGACCGCTGAGATCAGTGGATTGGCTGGGGTTGGGGGTGTTTGGTGAGGGATGAGGAGGAACCTGACAGCAAGGCCTGAGCTGAGCAAGTTCAAGAACTGAGAGGCTAAAGAGAGGAGGAGCCAGGCCTGGCCGGGTGGCTCAGTCGGCTGGAGTGCTGTCCGTACACCAAAAGGTTGCGGTTTGATTCCCAGTCAGGATACGGGTTTGATGTTTCTCTCTAACACCAATGTTTCTCTCTCTCTCTCCTTTCCTCCCTCCCTCCTTCCTCTTTCTCTCAAAGTCAAAAGAAACATCCTTGGGTGAGGAAGAGAGAGAGAGAGAGAGAGAGAGAGAGAGAGAGAGAGAGAGAGAGAAAGAGAGAGAGGGAGAGGCCTAAAGCCTCCAGGGATAAGGTGGAGACCCACAGGCTGGCAGAGGTGCTGGAACAGCTTTGGTCCTTCCTTCTCCTCCTCCTGGTCGTTTCACCCAAGCCCTGCAGACAATGCCTCCTGAAGCTGCCTCACACCCACCACCCCTCTCCCTTCTAGAGACTTCTGCTCTGGCTCTCTCCCTCCCCCCACACTGCTCCCCATGCACTCACCTCCCTCCCAGATCACTGGCTGCTCCCTCTGGGCCCTGGAATCCAGTCCCAGGCAGCGCCCTGGTACACGCTGTGCAGGCTGCCAAGTGCTCTGCCCGCTGCCTTCCCTCCTCCCAGTGCTCCCACCATATCCTCAGCACACTTGACTCACTCATGTTTGCATGTCTGTGCGGCTCTTATTCTTCAGTGGTTTTCCAGGGCGGGACCAGGCCTGACTCAGTGTGCTAGCCCTAGCCTCTACCCAGCCGCTGGCTGAGAGCTGGCTGGCACCTGGGTATTCACTCGTATGGTCCCAATCACTCCCACCACCCACCGTTCACACCCTGTACCTCGAGATGAGCTGGACCTGGCAACTCACTTTTTACTAATAAAATGCAGCAAAGGTGAGGAGCTGTCCCTCCATGATTAGCTTACAGAAGACCGGACTCCAG